TCAGGCCTATGAGGAAAGGTGAAGATGTTGAAGGTTACAAGCGAGTTCAAGTCGCCCTCGCAGATGGACAAGTCTCCAGTCTCCCTATCTCTCCAGGGGGAGCCATGGTCTCAGCTGATGCCGACATCGAGCCGATCATTCCAATGGGGCTCCTGACTGAAAAGCTGGGATGTTCCGCGACTTGGTCAAGAAGTCAACTCAGGGTGGTACATCCTTTGCGAGGAGAGCTTTTACTGTTTTCCTTTCCTATAGTTTCCTACATTATTTATAGACCGAGCTTTTGCAGTAGAAGGAAGTTGGTCCGTGCTATCTAAGAAAACATATGTTGGTGGAAAATATGGGAAAATTGTTGTTTTTTGGGTGGTCATGGGTTATCAGCCATGCGTGCGGCAGCGTGATGCGTTGAGCTTAAAGCCGACGACACCGTGGTGCGGGCATGGATCAGGTATGCGTCACTGCTGCAGCGCGTGCGGTATGCGTTGAGCTTAAAGCCGACGACACCGTGGTGCGGGCATGGATCAGGTATGCGTCAGACGAGTGCGTTGGAGCTAACAAACAAACAAAAAAACGACCCACACAAACAAACGAAACGACCAAACAAAACAAACAAAACAAAACGACCCACCAAAAAATCATATTATATTTTTAAATACAGACCTCACGCAGCGTCCTGGGCCCTTTAGAAGGTGAACTTAGCACACATAGGCCAAATCCGCTAAGTGCACTTAGCGAACATGATTGGAGTTGGCTAAGTCTACTTGTGGGAGATGGCTAACTTTGCTAATCAACTTAGCCAACCGCGCTATGTAACTTGCAACAGGCACCGAAGTATATAGCCAATATCGGGCCGGTGGACTTGCAACAACATACAAGCGGTGAGCATGTTTCACATGTTGAATGGCACACTAGTATGTACTTGACGCCCATGTACAACAACTTCCCATGTGCAGCAACGTGGACAAAGCACTTAGCAGTACACAGCAGGCTTGCAACCTCGCCAAGTTATAACTTGGCAAGCTTGTAAGTTAACTCAGCGAACATGTAAACTCTCCAGCAAGTTTGCCGAATCCACCAAGTTCTTACAAGAAGAGCCGGTCATCCAAGTAAGGCTCCATGAGGTCCGCCTTCCATATACAGTACACACAATCCACCCGAGGGCCTTGATGAATTGTGCTGCTTTGCAAGAACTAGCCATCCCACCCTCACTTCACTACATTGCCTGTAGAGCTTTTCTCGATTGCACAGTCCTGTGGAGACTCACGAGAATGCCAGGCCAAAGAACAACGTGGAGAGGGACATATGCCGAAGAAACTGCGTTCGAATTGTGCCCCGCATGGCGATGGCCTCGGTGGCTGCATATGATTCGAGATCCAGGATGAGTGTGTGACCTGATGAAGTCGGACTTAGCTTAAGTCCATACGAGCCGCAGCATACAGGTTAGGCGGCAAGTAGGCCACACTAAAGCAATTCGACAGCCCTCTCCAGCCTAAGTGAAAGAGAGGATAGCCGATTAGAGTCGGTGACGACTCCAGCCAACATGCCCATACTTGTGCACTGCTAGTGAGCTGGCCTGGTTGGGAGCCTTAGTTCTTGACTGGTGTCCGCACGCGCCTTAGTTCCTCGCCTGGCGAGGGTCCGCACCCTGCCAATCTTGTACAAAGTGGGCAAATGGCACCTTGCTAGCCTTCCCATGTTTCACCATGTCTCACAAGGGCCATGCATGAAGAAGGCGAGTCGACTGACGAATAGGAACACTATCCTTCCTGGATAGCATCTTGCACATTTGCTGCGCTCCTGTAGGCCTAGCTGTTAAGGAGCTTGCTTGAAATGTGCGCGACTCCTCCCTCTGCCCTCTGTTGAGGGAGTTTTCGTCAGGTGCCGGAAGGCGCACTTGCGAGCAATGACCACCATCGGCATACTGCCTACCACAGGCCACAGTTTCTCCCACCATCGCAATTGTGTGAAATGATTGCGACCAGGAGCAGGCTGTTTTCCAAGGCCAGAACAGCATTGCGTCAAAGCCAGTTCAACGTGACCCGCACTCTGAGGGAACCCATTCGGCGCAGCTCCTCCTTTGAAAGCTGCCAAATCGACATCGTGCCCCTTCACATATGCTTGAGTGCTTTCGAGCACTTTGTTTGAAAGCGCCTGTGACCAGGCCAGTCCGAACACAGGCCTGAGCACACAATGCCATTCCACAGGCATGGACTGCAGCGTGAAATTGAATTCGAGGCCCAGATAGCTAGTCGCCACAGTTCCCTCGTTTCACTAAGTGTCACCATGATGTACAGAGCTGAAACTCTGCAGTGATCTTCTCGGGGGTTTTTGTTTGCTGTTTTGGTTGTTTTGTTGTTTGGGGTGTTTGGTTGGTGTTTTCCTTTTCTGTTCTTGCTTTCCCTCTTTGAACTTGCAGAGTTTCCACCTTTAGCAAAGATGACCTGTGCACTCCGCACACATGGCGTCTCCACTCGTGCCAAAAAAACATGATGTACAGAGACGAAACTCCGCCGTTCTCGTCGCGTTTTTCTGGGTTCTTGGTTTTGTTGTTTTTGTTCGGTGTGTTTGGGGGTTTTGGTTGGTTGTTTTCTTGGTTCTTGTTTCTGAGTATGCGGAGGTTCAACCATTGCAAAGATGACCTGTGCACACCGCACATGGATTCATTGCCCCTGTTTTACCTTCTCATCCTTTGGTCGACACGGCCGCTCGAGCTACGTACCAGGTTGCGGTGTTGGGGGTTTGTTTGGTGTGTTGGTTGTTTGTGTGTGTTTGGGTTTTGTTGCTTGGTGGTTTGGCCTTGCAACCTGGATAGTAACCCGTGCAAAAAAAACACGCGCGCTCAGCACGGTTGAGTTGTCCTCGCCGGAACGAGAAACATCCGTCCCCTTCTGGAACCAAATAAGTTTCATCTTCAGGCTTAGTTTCTTCCGCCAATGTCAGCTGCAGGCGGATCTGCCTCTGGGGGCCCTTGCCCTCGGCCGAGCCGCATGTCTGCAACTGGAAGGACAGGTTGAGCCAGAGCCGTGGTTGCATTTGCCGCTTTAGGAGGGGCGTGCGGTGTCTACATCGCTCCACGCGGGCACCTCGATGCGAAAGCAGGATTTGTATGTTAATGGAAAGGAAATAGACTGGCCACAGCAGTCCGTGTTCATGTGCTTCGCCAGCCTCGGCGTGTCTGGCAGGGCTGGGCGGTTTGCGTGAGCATGCTGTTTTCAAACGCTTGGACAATGATGCAGGGATTGTCCGCCCTCGCAGGACCACTGTTGTGCTTGCAGGCCAGTCCGTCCTTGGGGGTCTGAGTCATGAAACTGCAGCAGGGCGGCGAGCACTTGGAGGGCACCTGGAATACCATGCGTGTTGACTGGGCATGCCAGGACGGTGAGGTCAGTGGCTCTGCACGCGACATTCGCTCGCGTGCAGCACTCGTTGTCAAAATCTGCTTGGCGTCCACTTCCGCTAAATTTGATCGCCCATGTGGAATGATGCAGTGTCTTGCAGTGGCACCGGCTACTTTGACCGCAGTTTCCGCATTGGCTTGCTTTCCTTTTCCCGACAATATGGAAGCTATGTGTTTTCAAGTCCCTATGACTTCTATAGGGCTATGTTAGGCAATATCTTTACTTTATTCCAGTCCCTTTTGAGCCCTCGTTGGGCTATGTTTACGACGTTCAAGTCCGTATCTCGCAGACACGTCCTTTAGATAGTGACTTCTAGGGCTATGTTAGACAATCTCTTTACTTTATTCCAGTCCCTTTTGAGCCCTCGTTGGGCCATGTTTTGCGTTCAAGTCCCTATCTCGCAGACACGT